AGTGGCCACATCTGTAGACCCGTCTAGGTTTCCATCCCACAAGAATCTATAGGTTCTCGCCGCAGGTAGCCTCAACCACCCATAATAGCTCTTGTGCATGAGGCCTTATACCTGCTCTCCTACTTTCGTACTTTGAGTTTCTAGCTTTGCACAAATATATAAAGGTGGTATTCTCCCTTTTTTTGCTAGGATTTGCATTCTTCAGGTCGGTGACTTGGAAGGTGCTGAATCCAGAGATCATAACGGCTAGTCAACTAGTTAGTCAAAAACTAAGCCCTTTATTGGGTGAAACATGTCAGTGAAGAAGATCTATAGCGGGACAATGTGTACCTGTGTGCTACAATACATTCTTCAGAGAAGCTTGCAGTGTGTGACCGGACTTAAGTACTGATGCTGGACCAAGATGTGCTTGGCCAGTGTGCACCCACCATTCTCTGGTGCTGCTGTGAAGGAGCAGTGATATTGAGCTATGGAAGCTAGTCGGCTAGTATTTTCAGAAAGAGATTGGCAATGGCAACCAGCGATAGAAGGAAAATTCCTGTTGGATAACATAAAGGTCGTTCCTGATTCCCATAACCTAATTTCTTGACTCTTCTGTATTTAAAAATATGTAGACTATGGATTAAGCCAGCAAGACAAGAACTTCTGGCTCAATGTTTCTCTATAGAGAAGTGCATGCATTTCTGAATACATAAAATATTCAGCATGGTTCCATTTACTTTTTTTAGGGCTTTTTCACACCACTTCCAGTGCGTTCCAGCATAATTGGGGGGGGGGGGGAGCATGATTGTGCATTCCAGTCAATGGCATCACAGCCACGCCCCCTGCCCCCAGTGCAGTCACCTGCACCGGAACGCATGGCACATGAATGCCTGCGTTTCGGTACAGTGCAATCGCAAAAAAAGCTGTATGCACTATTTTGCTGTGGTGCTTAGTTCCCTAATGTACACCCTGTCTACAGCTGATGAGTGTTCTTAAAGGAGAACTATGAGGTGAGTGCTTTTCACTAATTCTCATAGTTCTAGCCGACCTGTGCCAATGAGACTGTCACAGGTCGGCTCAGTAGATCAGGAAGGGAGCAAACACATAGTGGCGTTCGCTCACTTCTCGATCCTGTCATGGCTCTCTGCTGTGACGGGAGGGACTGGATTCCCCCCTTCCTGCTCCGATACTCCAGCGCTGGTGCAGGGGGAGTAAATCCGGCCCTGGGGAGGACGCTAGTTTATGTCCTCCCGTTACCCTAAGGAGAAGTATGGGGAAAAGCCCTAACCCCATAGTTCTCCTTTTAAGCTCATCACATTTCTATCGTAAAAAAAATCTACACATTCCCCATACCACTAATGTGGGTCTATTTCTCTATTTTTCTCCATATAGAAGTTTGCCCCGGTGTGGTGGTTTTCTTCCTTAACCACTTAGGGCTTATTCACATAGATGTGAATGGCCATGCACTGCAAAAAGTGCCTGATACTTCTGCACCTGGCATTGATGGGTTGCGTACAGCCACAGGTAACAGTCTGTACAAATTGATGAGAAAAAGTGGCTGCATGCATAGATGCGCACATCCTAGCGTTTACATCTGTTGAGGGTCAGATGAATGGCGCTAGATGCAAACTATGTCCTAATCCGCTCATCTGTCCCTGTATAGATGTAAACGCTCAAATTTGTGGGTCATTGATTTGTACAGGCTGCTGGCCACCCTTGTACAGGCTACCTCCCACAGCAATACCTAACACCTGTCACTGAAGTATCGGCTGTGTATGGCCATTCATGCCTGTGTGAATGAGCCCTTAGGCTGCCCCTAAACTGTCAGATTCCCCTTCTATAATGTACGTGGTAAACATCACATGAGTATTAGTGGCCCTCCTCGAAGGGTCTGCTGACTCAGCTGGGACTAAACCATTCTAAATAATTCTACAAGTCGATGTTTTCTCTGCCTTAACATGTTTAACCTAGAAGCAGCTGGCACCCCCTCTGAGGATTGTGCATGCATGCATCATTTTGTGTATGATCATAACACATTCTTCCTGCTCACCTGTCCCCTTTAAGATCGGGCTTGAATGATGACTATTTTTCTGGAGGGCAGACATATTAACCCCCAAAAACAGCCGCTATGTGGGGCTGAAAGAACAGCATTTCTCACATTCCTGGATATCAAATCAATTTGAAAACAGTCAAGACTTCACTTGTGAAATTCGGACTTCAAAATCTAAACCTGTCAATGTGCCTAACATTCATATAATTCTTGAATGTATTACGAGAATGCTTGCTATAAGGGGGTGTAAAATTCTTAGATTAACATTTCACAGTACATAAAGAGTTTTATTTATGAATAGGCTTGTATCTAAGATAGGATATGATATAAAAATAAACCTTTCAAAATGCTAGTTGCATGTTTTTTTTATACTGCCGCTCCTACTTTTAGACTTTTTTAATTTCTAGCCAAGTATATAAAGGTGGTCTACCATCTTTTGCTATCGTTTTACATACTTGCTCCAACCCCTCCAAAGCAAGAAAACATGATGCTGTTGAGCTGCCCCCTAAGTGTCAGGGGCCGGACTAGATACCCTCTAGAACTTTCAACTTTGCCACCACTGATATGCATTGCATATTGAAAAATCTGTATTGTTAAAGTGAACATATGCGGTTGTCTGTCCATTGCGGAGAATTACAATGGACAGACAGGAGATGCTGAACTTCTAGGTCAGTGTCTTGGAAGGTTCTGAAGCCAGAGGGTCGGCATAACAGCTAGTTAACTAGTATTGTCAGAAAGAGATCTGTAATGGCACGCACTAAGCCCTCGTTCACAACTGAACGTTTTGTAGCGCGTTCTACGCTAGACGAATGCTCTACAAAACGCTCAAAAATATAAATCCCATTGTATTCAATGGTCTCGTTCCCACCTTTGGCGTATTTCCGCCCGTCCCTAACGCGCTACAAAACGGCCCACGCCTGAAAAGGTACAGGTACTACTTTGGGCCGTTTTGTTGCGCGTTTCCATTGGGATACAGCCAAGTAGCCTTCGGAAACGCGCGACGGTCGCGCAACTTTTTTTATCGCGAATCTCGGTAAAAAAACCGCGCATATGCAATATGCCTAGGTGTGAACGAGACCTAATAGAAGAGTTGGATATCCTAAAAAGTTGTCCTTGATCCTCGTAATCATATTCAATCTTCCTCTGTATATGGGGCTTTGAAAGTGTCCTCAAATGCAAGGAGACCCAGTTCAAAATTACATACAAGTCGTTTATTGTATAAAAATATATATATTCTTTATTATAATAAAGATGACAGATTAGTGATATCATTAGATGGTACAAAACCTCCCTGGATCACATATAGATACATACTGTGTATATAACAATAAAGTATTAACATTTATCTCCTTAAATATCTCTTTTATATAACTGCATAAATAAATTCATCCATAATGTTGAGTAGATCTATAATGTGTCCAGTTTTCGACATGTTTCGCTCAAGGCTTCATCAGGAAAATATGGAGGTGCCATTAATGGAATCTCTGTCCTACTGACATGCGTCCCTACTGCCGAGCCAACCTAAAGCAACTCGGGAGGTAAGGGAAGTAGGGGACCATGCGGGCCAACGAATGGGGAAGAAGGTAAGCCTGTCCATGATGTGTCCTTCAAACAGTTACTGGATGCATCACTCCTCATCCAGCAAAAGGCAGCCCCCCAATCCGAGCAGCCCACATCTCCCCTCTCTCTCCCTACTCCTATTCCCGCCGCACCAAACCACGCCATTTGCCGCTAACGGCACGCGTCATGTGCAGCTGGGACGGGCCCACTTCATTAATGGCACCTCCCATATTTTCCTGATGAAGCCTTGAGCGAAACATGTCGAAAACTGGACACATTATAGATCTACTCAACATTATGGATGAATTTATATATGCAATTATATAAGAGATATTTAAGGAGATAAATGTTAATAATTTATTGTTATATACACAGTTATTTTAATAAAGAATATATATATTTTTATACAATAAACGACTTGTATGTAATTTTGAACTGGGTTTCCTTGCATTTGAGGACACTTTCAAAGCCCCATTTCTCTATTTTTGTTGTTGTATTCTGTATACTTAGGGGTGTGGTGTCCTAGTTCATGTGGTGGTTCGCAATTTTGTGTACTTCCTCTGTATATGGTTATGCATATGTAAAATATCCAGCAGTGGCTACAGTTTGCAGTTGGTAGAAAACATAGGGCCAAGAGTCTGATAAAGTTCATGCACATCAGGCGTGGACAAATTCATCTGGAACTCAGAAGCCAGTCTGCCCAATCCAGGATCCACCGGGACAGCTGCATTGAACTCAACTGGAGGAGACCAAAAGTTAGGTGGCAGGTGTGATTTTTTTTTTTTTTTTACAAAGCATTGGCAACCTGGAATGTGGCCAGCCCTGATATGACTAGATATCCCCACAGCTGATGCAATGAGCATACACTAATCTTTTTATTATAGGCATTTATATGGTGCTGACCATTTACGCAGCGCTTTACATTCACATCAGTCCCTGCCCTCAAGGAGATTACAATCTAAGGTGCCTATCTTGCATGCATACATACAAGGGCCAATTTAGACTGGAGCCAATTAACCTACCAGCATGTCTTTGGAGTTTGGGAGGAAACCCACGCAAGCACAGGGAAAACAGGCAAACTCCTTTATAGATGGTCACCCGGCTGGGATTCGAACCAGGGCCCCCCCCCCAGTGCTACAAGATCCTGCTAATGCACCAAGGCAAATTTAGCACCTATGGCTTGACTCTTAAATACAGACATCAATTTCTGTATTCAAGAGTCAAGCCATAGGTGCTAAATTTGAGTAGATGGATCACATGGAGGAGAAATAGCTGGCTGTGTGATGACTAAACCTGGTGGCAGATGTGGTGATTGTTGTACTTTTGTAATCAAAATTACAAGATGTCCGAGCTGAGCAATACTTCAGTCAGGTAATGGATAATTTGTCCCTTTTTTTTTTTTTCACAGGTAATTGCAGTGGTCATGGACTCCTTTACAGACAATGACATATTTCGTGATATTCATGAAGCTTGCAGAAAACGCTGTGTTCCGGCTTACATTTTAGTTGATGAGTCTCAGCTGCCACATTTTCTTACCATGTGCCAAAATCTTGGAATTTCAATTGAAACTGAACTGGTAGGTCTAAAGTAAACCGTATAGTAGTGAAAAACCTGAAGGGCCTCCTAGTCTTTGACGGACATCAACTCCAACAATCCATTAGTGCTAGACACTTCTAGTTAATCAAAGTATTGCAGGAAATGTACAATATTTGTTGGTGGTATTAAAAATGGACTCATTAAAAACAATTGATCAAAACTGGAGCAGACACAATCTGGTGCAGTTGTGCATGCCAACCAATCAGCTTCTCTTTTATAATAAAAGCTTAACCGAAGAGAGACAATGAATACTGGTTACTATAGGCAAGTGCTCCAGATTCTGTCTGCTCCAGTTTTGATATATAACCCCTGTTGTGGAACCCTATCTCCTCCTAGTCATTGAGCACGTCAAATATCAAATGCTATGTTTGTTCGTAGATCCTTATCACAGTCTTTACCTTTCATCATATCCCAAACTGTATCCATAAAATGTACCGTATTTGCCGGCGTATAAGACGACCCCCTACTTTTTGTGTTTTAAAATATAGGTTTTGGGCTATACTCGTCGTATAAGACGAGTATAGCCCAAAATAATGTTTAAATGCACCCACAAACATCCATGGCGCTATTCCCGAGTGTGGCTCGGGGTTAATTTTCAGTACCATAAGCGGTAACCCCGAGCCACACTCGGGATTACAGTCTCTTACCTTGTCCACGATCCCCTCTGTGTCCTCCGTCTTCCGCTGAGTCAATCACGGCAGGCCTTGTATTAAATAATAAAGGCGTTTT